TTTCCTTCTGATAGTATCTAGAGACCACCAGAGCATCCAAACTAAGGAATTCATCTTAAAAACAACATGTTTTCCCCAGCTCAAAGTGCCAACAAATCCATAATAAAAATATACAAGTAAAGAATGGCAACACAAAAAAAAAATTTAGAAAACTAAATTGGTTGAATTTAACTTTCCACAACATCAAGCTTTCTCCCGGCATAGTGGTAGGTGGAAGGCTTCATATCACCTTAAACTTAGAAAAAATACAAGTTAACAGAGCTTTAACCCCTCCTCATCCTTCACTCCTACCAGTGTTTCTTCCAATGTTTCTGCCAATGATTGCAAGAGGAGCAGATTCAGAGAAGTAAGTCTCTAAACCAGTTCACTGCAAAATCACATAACCAAGAGTGCAAGAAAGGGGACAAAGAGGGTGAAAACACAGGACTGCAGCAGCATTACCTTAGACTGGTTTAAAATTGTCATGGAACAGTACTCTGAGTATAAGCCTCAAGAAAAGAGGATCATTGTAGGGCATTTTTGGGCTCTCAACGCCTATCTGCAAGTGACTGGGATTCCAATCAACTTGATACATTCAAGAATTCCTGCACTCTAGATTAATGCTCATGATTTATCTGAAAACTGTTCCATTGCATTTCTTGTCCCCTTACACTTAATTTAATGCTGTTCCTTAACATTATTTGACTTTTACTAAAAGTACTCCAAACTTCAGATTGATTCTGTCATTTTAATTAAATCTAAATATTTTACCAGTGTGTCAAAGTGAACCTTAAAATAGAAGAATGGTTAATAAGGTGAGGAAAAAAAAAAGGACACATGCACATACACAAAACAGCCATCTATATTTTCTCATTCTCTTTTTGTGCAGTCTCTTTGAAGTACAAGTAACATTTATTAGAACAGCAGGGCCAAAATTCTAACCTGGTATTAAAGACTTTTATATATACATACTGTGTCTATTTGCATTTTGGGACACTCCCTAATCTGAACTTCAGGCTATATATTAAAGATGAGTACCGCACATATGTTGCGACCTAACTTTTCCACAAAGTTTTATTTCACAGAAAGTTCTAGGCCTGACCCAAGTTTCATAAGTAGCAATTTAATACTTTTTATGCATGTGTTTCATCTGACTGAGCAGAAGCTATTTGTTTCAAAGGAGTAGAACTTGATCTGTACCACAAGGAACACAGACATTTCTAAAATTCAAATTCAAAAGTTGTTCAATCATTAGACAATTGTTTATAACATCGAAAAAGAACACGTACCATTTGACAGCTAAGTTTTGCACCTCACCATTTTTATCTTCCAGTAATTTCAGAATCATCTTCACCACCTTTCTTTCGCTGTCATCATCCAACTTGATAGAATCTTTCTGTAGTTCAGTCATCAAGTCATTAGTAGCCATAAACCTGACAAAAGATAGTCAGATTATTATTAAAAGGATATGGGTCGTTCACAGCACTCTGCAATTCAAGATTCTTGGTTTCCACCATTTGTGATCAAATGAATCATATTCAATCTTGGATTACAGTTACCTGCTCTGTGATGCAACCATCACTGACTTCAATTTTACTGTAAACAGGGAGAAAAATTGCATTTAATAATTTTAGTTAGGCCACTGTCTTTCCTTGAGGAGGACAACTACATATTTCCACTGTTTCATTATGTTAGAGCAAAGATCCAATTTATTTCCACAAAGAAAAACTGAGACCTACCCAGATTTGAAGTAGTCCTTTCATTAGCTACATTGATTTTGTAAGAAACAGATTTGTGGGTGGGTTTTTGCATGTTCCACCCCCACCGCGGGGAAGGGGGAGGGGCAGGCAAACAAACATAAAACCAGTGGAAGCCTTCCTCTGATTTTATTTAAAAGTAACTTTTAAGCAAGAAAAATTATTTTTTCAAGCTTTCTCCCACAAAATCTACAAGCCAAATATTAATAAAGGGAAAAAATGAAGTTATATTTATGCGTTTTTCACATTTTTTTCCCCTGCGCAGATTTGTTTGTTTATAGTCTAGACAATGGTTAATCAAGCTTATCCAGTTCTCAGTCCAAGGGTGCCATACTAAAGACCAAGATTAATTCTTGGGAGATCAAGAGAATAAAATCAGCTTTCCCATCAGCTAATTTACCATTTAATATCACTGTCACATTCACCAAACCAAATCCAAAATCTAAAAACACAGTGAGAAATGACTTTCCAAAAATAGTTTTTATGCCTTTCACTTCTTTTTCTTCCCAATCTGCTTCTGTTCTCTTGTTCTTTCCTGAATGCCCTTTCTTCTCAGGAAAAGTGATACAGATGTATTACTCAATTACAAATCCCACGGGCTTCACTACCAATCCCAGCTCCCATTCAGACACAAAAATAGTCTGTAATTAAACAGTTACGGTTGACATTTGGACTTCAGACACATCAGCCTCAAGCAGACATCACTTAAGCTCAGGTCATACTTGGAAGGTTATCTCTACAGCCTGACATGCTAGATAGATACTCTTTACTGAAAATGAAAGCCAAGCCTCTGCATAACCTTAGCATGCATCACAAATACCAGATGCCTACCCTCACACAACAGACCCCAACTCATGCTATCTTTTAATACTGTAATTCCAGTCCAATAGACTCAAGGTGTTTCTAACTAAGATAAGTTAAGGCACCCCCCCACACCTTTTTTTCACTCCAACAGTCTCTGAAGCAAGTCTGTAATCTGACAGGAACCAGACGTGTGCATAAACAGACGATGAATGTGAATGGCATCAGCTTTAAACACAGCAAGGAAAAAAGCTACTTAATAAGTAAAGGTAATGGACAGATAGGACAGGCATAAGGACACGCACAAAGTCACATGGTATTAGAACATCTAAAAAATGTCTCCATGTTACAGCTATCTTTACCTCCTTTTCTTAAATCTGCTTAATATCCTCCCCTCACTTCCTCAGTCAACAGCTACCATTTCCTACCTTTATCAGTCCACTGATCACCTATTTGTGGCAATTCTCTAAACTAAGCAGAGCTTGCACGTCCTCAGCCCATCAGCAGCTTCTACACTCAACTACAACTGCCTCCTCCTGACAGGCTCCTCCATTTAAAAAAAAAAAAAAAAGCTGGAACTTAGAACTATGATTTTGACTAGTCTACATGAGGTCTGTAGTCACAACTGCTTCCTCCTCAAACGTGCTTATCCTTACATACATATTTCCCTATAGGTATCCTTATATAGGCAGCAGCATACAGGTGGTGCATATCAGTAGCTTTTAATACCTTACACTCAGCACTCATTCTCTTGGTCCAGCAAGGAGTATAGACTCAGTATAGACTGCAACCTGGCATTGAAGCCGTGTGACACACACACAAAAAAAAAACCCTACTTCCCCCACAGCCACAAAGTAAATTACCATCTTACATTATTGCTCATTTTAGAATTGAAGGCTGGGCTTCCAGGCAACAAACACCACTTACAATGGCATCAGACAATTTAGCATATCCAAAAAAAAATGGAAGACTAAGTTGTACAGTAAAATACTTACTTGACCTGTGACTTGCAGTCAGTTCCCTGATATCAGGAAGTTCACTACACTATCCCTCTTCAGATATATGTGGTCTATGAATAAAAGCACTTATAGTTACTAGTGCTGAGAATAACTATTTTATTCATTACGCCAATACATGATATATGTAAAGCTTTCATAAAAATTGTTACCACATAACAGCCAGTTTATAAAGGCCTACACTAAAAAAAGTTCTAAAGTATTTGAGAATTCCAAAGCTGTTCAAAGCTCCTAGAGCAGGTAATTTCTAAAGTGTGTTCTCCTAAAGCACTTACAATATAAGGTTTAACTACGTACACCTGGGGAAAAAAGTGCTTGCTACCTCAATTTCATTTGGCAGGTGTGACCTACCTCTCTTGCACAAAGTTTTAAACTCATTAAAACTAGTATTTAGTGGCAAATTGATTAGAGCTTTTTGTAAGTCATCTTCCTCATAAATACAAAATGCAAATCTCACTTAATCACATTGTTAAAATTAAAAAAAAAACTTCAATAAAACTTATTAGAAAAAAAGTTTGAATCCATTTGCAATACAACTTAAATGGGTCAGGTAATACTGTACTGCATCTTTTTAGACTAACTGATTTTTTTTTTACTTCTAAAGTTCCTAGTCTAAAATCTCCAGATAACTACTCCAGCTATCATCAAACAAATCATGCTACTACAATTTGAAAGAGATTCACATAAAAAAAAAGAGTCATCAATTTATCACACCTGTGTCCAATGCAACAATAGCTTTGTCAAAAGCAAACAAGATATTTGTTGACTGATTTGAAAAGTCACCTCTATTTTTTAGATTTTAGTATATTGACAGGAAAGTTGTTTGGATGTACATATAGTCCTTAACTACAAACTAAGCACTGTAGCCTGCAGTAATGCAACAAAACCCAAGAACATTTTATGCCTTTTCCCCGTTAGTGTTGATGTACCTACTTTGATAGATAAGACCTACAAATGAGAATTTCTGGATGCACATACTATGAAGAAAGTAATTTAATTATTTTTAACCTAATGTGTTAAGAAGTTTTTTCCTAGAACTACTGTATAAACATATGGTCTTAGCTTTTTTTTTTTTTTTTTTTTCCCCTAGAAAAATGCAATACTATTTCATTCTCTAATATTTAATGTCTGCACTTTATCTGCTGTAAAATAAACAAATGACCCAAGGTGATAAATCCTAAACTCAAGAAAAAAAATATCCAGTTCCCATAAGAGTCAGAAATCTAGTTATGTTAAATTAAGATACATAGACTATCAGAGACCGCAGCAGATTGTGCGAGTCCCAGGGGCACAAAACCCTTCTGCCTCCAGGATGGAGCACCCAGGAGCCACGGGGGCTTGAGAAGTTCAAGCCTACCGTGCTGGGCGGCCCTCCCTGCTCCCATTCACAGAATCCCAGGATCGGTATTTTTGGAGGTTGGAAGGGACCCCTGGAGCACACGCCTCATCTAACCCCGCTCAGATCAGAGCCAGCTCCCGCGGCTGCTCGGGCCTTGAGCATCCCCCAAGAACGGTGACCTGAAGCCAACCGCTGACCTCCTCGCCTGACACGGCGCAGACCGGCCAACCCGGCCACCGCCCGGCTCCTCCGGGCTCCTGGGCCCCTCGGCCGGAGCCCGACCCGCTCGGGA